GATTTTTGGTCGAACTTTTTATTTTTTTAACTGTTATTCTCCCAAACATTACAAAAATTTGAAATTTTGCATACATATTCTTGCAAACTTTGGTCACAATTTGATGAAATTTATTTGTGTTTTATTATGTACGTTTTTGCGTAATTAATTATTTTGTAGTGACCGAAACTTTTGTCCAGGGAGTGTATCTTCGTCAGAATCTAATTCCGGTAACATTAGTAAATGATCATCACCAAATTCAAAATGCCAAAATAGTCTTTCATAGTAGCCAAAATTAACTTTAATAGTGGCCAAAATTAACTTTAATAGTGGCCAAAATTATATCCAAAATAATTTGAACTCTTTGATATAATAGCAAAAATTGGGTAATTTTTTTATGGCCATTGATATAAAGAATATGGAGAAGTGTTGCCAAAATGTTTGGCAAATGCAAAAACAATTTTGGCTAACATGTATGATACCAGTAGTAGTGTAAAATTAAAAATTAAACCACTGTACCAATATATTGGTCTCTCCCTAATGTTTTATTATGCAATTAACTATTTTTGTCTAGACAATCACATTAACCAGCTAATCCAAGGATCAACATTAAGGTTCAACCTCACCATTTGAGACTGTTGATCTCTAGGTTAAACCTCTAACCGATAACCATGGCCCAATTTTACTAATTAAAATTAAGGTGAAAAATCAGGGCCTTAACCACCCAATCACCCAGACTCCTCTGTCAAAAGGTTGAACTTCACGTTTTGAGAATGACAATCCTTGAATTGGGTGACATTAACATTGTAATACAATTGTGAGTTTAAATAAGCATGCTTGATCCCTGAAATTCTTGGTAATACCAATGTTCACTTTGACTGGCTTTGTTGCGGCATGCCCATATTATTGACATTTGAATCAAGATGACTAAGAAAGGATTGAACCTCCTTCTTTGTAACAAAATCATACATCAAAACAACAACGACAAAGAAGGAATCAGGTGTTCAAAAGTTCCTAAATGAATTAAATAATGATAATCCATCACCACCATCAGCACCTTTATTGAATAATTCATCACTAACATCAACATCATCAACACCTGAAAATGAATCACCATGTCAAATTCTGTCAATGAATTACATTTGTATCAGGGAATTTGTAATGCAGAAGGTCATGCCATTCATAAGAAATTAGATCTTACTACTATTTGGTGAAGCTCTGAAAAACCGACTTGATTACATCTTGACTAAAAATCAAGTTCCTCTGCATCCATTCATCCTTTTTTTGTAAATTCAATTTCAAGGTTAACAAGAAATGAATGACATTCAACTAATAATTAGTCATGTGAAATTTGATTATGAAATAAACTTAAAGGAATCACTTCATGCTGATACATAATAAGATCATTGCTCATCATGTTCTTGGCTTATCATATGTGGATTTATTCATTGTTCCTTGAAGGGCATTTTGCTTATTTCAATAAAAATTGGTCATCAAAGATATACATTGCAATCGATAGTTTCATTAGGTCAATTATATGATATTATTTTACTATATACATTCTTCAGTTAGTATACAACTATTATTATTATCACCTATTTTTTTTATTTTTCTTTTAAATTCTCTTACTGCAAAATTTAAATGTATAAAAACTTTATTTTATTTATTGAGTAGATTTGCAAAACATTCATACTTTAACGGCTAATGATTTAATTAATAATAATACCAATGGATTAATAAAAAGCGATTTTCAATCAATAGAGATTTTCGATTCTGTAATGCAATTCTTTTTTGTTCTGTGCATTCAATTAGTACAGTTATAAATCCTAAGCAAAAGACAAATATTACATTGGTAATACAGCTATGATGTTAGACAAACATATTTATCCCTGTAATTCTGGCAATACCAATGTTCACTTGTCTGATTTTGTTACAGTATGCCCCAGTTCATAAAAGTCTCAAAAATAGGATTTCAGGTTCAAATCACACCCACTACTAATAAAGCAGATATACTCTTCGTATGGCATTAGAGGAATATATAAAGGACAAACCATCACAGTGATTCGAGAATTTCAAGGTATGGTGCATACTTTCATATTTGTGAGTAGCTATTTCAAAATGCAATGTCAAAAGGACAAAAGAAACGCAGCGAGATTGAAAGTTGGAAATCGTGTTTATACGGCGCAGCATCAGGTTTGTATCATGCATGGTTGGTTGTTGTAATGTTGATGGAACTTTCATTAATAATTTAACAAAATATCAAATATTATTTAGGATATGGAATGTAGTTATCGGAATTAATGAAGGTTTTATTCTACGTGCTGGTCCTGTTAATGCATCTACTTTTGTGGTATTTGAAATGGCAATGAGAGTCTTTGATAAATTATAATTTATTGTGTATTTATATATAATATATACATATATACAGTATATAAAATATAAAATATAATAATGATTAGATTGCAAATAATATACAAACAAATTAATGATTAAAATATAAAAACAGCAGGGTTCAGAAATAATGTACATGTTATCTTTTAGACATTAATTTAGTACCAATCATACAAATCCCAAATGGTATTATCATAATCGTTATCATGTGCATAATCATAATCGAAATGATATTTGTAATCGTAATCATAATCGTATTCATAATCGTATTCATAATTGTAATAATCATAATCGTCGTCATTATAATCAAAGAATATTTCTTCATCTGGTCCCCATTCAAATCCATTAATAATCTCGTACCAGTTTTCCTTCCATGGTATTCCTGTCAGCTCACGATTTGAAAGAATATCAAAATCTTCATATAATAAAGTGTCATTTGTTCTAATTTTGACAGCTCCTATATTTTTTTTGGCTCGTTCCATTACATCATCAGAAATATTTATTTCAGATGCCAGGATTTTCAACGTCTTTAGCGTATTTCCCTGATGCTTCATTATAACATCAATATGTTTATCAGTTATATACGGTAATCTTTCAATGAACAGATATTCTAATCCAGCTTCACATTTTGCAAAGAACTCCTCCAAATTTTCAAGTTCACTATCCCACTCTGTGCTAATTATCAATGATTTTAGACTATCCGGTATGCTGGCTCCAATAAGTGAAAGCGAATCGTAAGTATACTCAAAAGATCCGGTTATAATTAATTTTTTGAGTCTTGTACACGATTCCAATAGATAAAGAAAACAATCTAATAAATGATTTGTAAAAGTTATCGAAAATTCCTCCAAGTTTTTTGTGCATTTTTTGGTAATATTACGGACAACTTGTATGCAAGAATCTGTTTGATTTTGATATTGTAAAGTTCCTAAATATAATTTTTGTAACACATGACCATAATTGTTAATCAATGTATTCATGGATGAAGGTGGTGGACGTGTATGCCTGAAATCAAGTTCTGTTAGTTTCGGAAACTGTTTGACATGCAACGGTTCCAATAACTTTTCATCTACATTTTTACAGCCATTAAACGCCAAGTGCTGTAAATTCTCCAAATCTGTTATTCCTTCTAACTTATCCATTTTATTAAACACAAATGTAACAGAATGGAAAACTAAACAAGCCAAAGTTTGCGAATGTTTGCCTAAAGCAGAAACAATAGAATTGTCATGCACATAAAAATCATGAAATTCAAGCTTTCGTAATGCCTTTTGGTTAGTAATTAACGTAATTAGGTTTTTTATTTCTTCTTGATCAGAATTATTTCCACGATCTTTATCTGAACCATTGACTATTAGTACTTCGATTCTACGACAAGTTTTGGCCATCTCTTTATAAATATTGTCTTTTTGAAATTTACCATAACAACAAAATTCTCTAATCAACGAAAACGGACTGTTGTTGTTGTTGTTGTTAGCCTTAGGACAAAACATAGTTGAAATTTTTGGTGCTAAAAGTGTCATCTGACCTGTTTCAATTGATAAATTAAGAAAAACAGACGATCTGTTCATAAATACTTTACATAAGACATTTGTAACCAGTAGCCAGTCATTAACTGAGAATCTACCATTCGCCCAATGTTCAACAGAGTTGTAAATGTCCAAGTAGTTGAGGGACCTTAAATATTGAGGATAATTAAAAGTGGCTGGTTTCTTCTTGAAGAAATGCCTTTTGTACTTTTTAAAAAATTTTCCTTCCTTAGCATTAAGTTCCTTCACATTTATACATGATAAATATGTTTCAACTAACTTTGCAGATCTGTCTAATCTTGTTAGAAGAAAAGGTTTACTCCACAATTTTTCTACTATAGTAAGGCACCATAATTTGTTTATTAATAAACATGAATGTAAAGAAGCCTTGTCATTGTCACTAAGAAAACTTATTACAGCATGTATACAGTCTGAAGGTAAGAGGTTTGTCATTATTGTTATTATTTATGGAAAATTGTTGATGGACAAATAAGTGATCTGTAATAATCAGAAGGTATGGTTGGCTCGCTCCTATTGCTACGCCATGCGGCCAAATTTCAAAATAGGTCTCACGTGATTTTAGTTTCTTACTGTCAAAATTAGATATATACGATAGTCAAGAGCTAGTCTAAATTTGGTACCAATTTCCTAAATTTAGAAATGATCGTAGTGAAAAATTCCTCGCATAGTAAAGTACATTTTTTAAAAAGAATAGAACTCTAAATAATTTTTGAGAAAATCTCTTCATTACATTAAAACTAAAGACATATTCTATCAACTAATAGAGCTATTTTTTTTAAAAGGTAGGACAGAAAGTGACTTCTATACTTTTAAAATTTGCCCAAAATTTAGATCAAATATTCATGATGGTCATGATGATTATTTGATACATTTGATATCATCATTGACATAACAAACAATTGCATCACCCAGGTAGTAATGATACCAAGGCCATGCATAAAC